CCCATCCTATTGCTAAGGAAGCTTTGGATACAAAGCCAGGTCTCCTCCCATGGAGAAGGAGTAGGCCTCCCTCTGACTTTGCCCTCATACCCATCATGCTCAATGAGCAACCTGGCTAAGGAGAGCAAGCACAGCAGCAGCAGCCTTGAGGAGGAGGTAAGTGCAGCTGGGCACCCCCTTGGGGTAGTGGGGCTGGGCTTGGTGCCACGGGTGCTTGAGGGCCGGGCCGGGCGTTTGACCTCTGCTGCCCAGGGCTCTGGGAAGCCCACGGCGCCATCCAGCCCCGCCTCGCATGGCCTGAGAGGAACAGTGAGGCTCTTCCAGTGGACCATGCCTTGGCACTTGCCCCGGTCCCACCCCCTTCTGCCAGAGACCCTCAGATCTGTCCCACTTCTGCCCAGGCCCCCACAGGCACCCTTGACACAAACGATGTAGAACTGGCCATACCCACCCAGCAGGCCACACCCACTCCAGCCACGCCCACCCAGTAGGCCGCACCCACCCTGGCCACACCCACCCGGCCCGAGGACAACCGCAATGCTGATGCGGCCCTCAATGAAATTGAGTTTGACACTCCTGCTCTAGCGCTTCTTATATAAGACAGAATGATTTCTATTTCTCACCCTTCTTTCTTTCCTATGACTGAAAGGTCATTTATTTTCTTTTACTAATCATTCTAATAACCTATGGGTTCCTTGTCAAAACTATCTCTGCATTCTATACCATCTCACTGAAGAAGCACTGATGAGTATTCATGTTTGGCATGTCACTCAGCTCATATTCAGCTCAGCCAGTTAATAAAAAAAATAGGGATACGTTGTCAAATGCTTTGTTGAAAGCACGATATGTCATTTTAAAGCATTCCAATAATCTACTGAAGGAAAAAATGAAATATCTGGCAAGACTAGTCCCTTGGAAAAAATCATGTAACTTCTGGTCATTATTATCACTTAGTTTTCAAGATGTTTACAAACCAATTTCTTTATACTTTGCTCTTGAATTGTCCAGATCAAAGCATAAAACTAATGTATTTGTTGGCTGGACCATTTTTTACAGCAAACACGCAGTATTCCATCATCTCCTTTCTCCTCATTCTCAATGTAGGGCATGAAAGATTTTGACACTACTTTTAGTTTTGGAATGGCAAGCCAGAAAGAGAATTGAGATAGAAACACTTGAGAAATGTAGCAACAAATGTGAGCCGGTTTAAAGAACATATAAATATTGAAGGAACCCATGGTACATTCATACCGGTATCTTCCCTTTTCTTTCTTTTGCCAGGGTGAGCTAGATGCCTTGTTTCTACTAAACCTAAGAGCTTACATCTCCTGGGGAGCATTACTGCCTAGGGGAATTGAAATTATGCATTTTTGGTGGACTGACACAATTCCTCCTGTGCAAGATTGTTCTAATTTTTGAAGACTACAGTCAGATGCAATCCTTGCAGATCATGATGGTAAGATGGGAATTATAGCCAAGATGGGATATTTAAAGAAATACACATGACTATCTAAAACTCTGAATCTCTCTATTCTGATCAGTTAATTGTGATTATTAATCCAATATCCAGTTTGTCCTGATGCCTCTTTAACTAAACCTACAATTTGAATGAAAAGGATACTTTCCCAACTACAATATAACACTAAATTCATCTTTGCATTGAAGGTTGGTCTAGACACAGAGATAATGATAATGTTTGGCTAGATAACATACAACTTTTTCTTGGTGGAGAGCAATGTTTAAAGTTATGGCACTAAGGAATGTTATTTCATGCAGGGAGTTCCAAGTTGACTCGCATAAGAGTTCAATCAGGGCTCAGGTTATGACTTGAAATACTAGCTCAAAGCCCCATAACAGATACTTCTGGATAGCTGTTAATCTTAACAGGGATCCCTCCCACTTAGGAATCTCTTGATGTAAGGATGATGCCAAGAAAGGTTCAATGCTTCCTGGTAATAGGACTAAAGGAAAGGCTGATACTTATGCAAGATCCCAATTTATAGAAAGGTCAGGATCTGGGGAATGGAGACTGATACTGGTGATATTTTTGGCCTGTCTGCAGTTAGTCTGCTATATGAGCAACTAGTATACACAAATAGAAATTCTTTAGAATGCTAGGATGGCTTAGATAGTTTTGCTATTGTACTGCAGGTTAACAAAATGTCCACTCAATCTCCATGCATTTAGCTACAAAACTAGGTTTTGGGTAGATGAATCCTCTTGGGTGATCCCATTGCTAAAATGTGAAAGATTTTACAAGGTCCAAGTACCAGGGATTTGTGGACCAAAGAGTGTTATTCATATCAGCACCATTCTCAGATCTTACAACAGACTTAGAAGCCTCAGGCTTAGTGGAACAAGGATTGTCATAGGTGCTAAAAAGGAAATATGTTAGTCTAATCTCTAGGAAAGAAGCATGAAATAAATCATTCATTCTTAAGATTGGTGGCTGTCACTCAGAGATCCATTCCTTTTGTGAAGAGACATTTTTCTCCTCCAGTTGTTTCCAAGATTTATCTACGATAATACATAAAGTTTGGCGAGACCATCAGCACCTCTTTTAGTACTTAGGACATAATTCACTTTCCACTAGAGATTCATTCAAAGGAAACAGGTTCTGCCTGACTGAATTTAAACATATGCAAATGCCAAACATTTATTAAATATTTTGGAAAGTAAAGTATGGGGGGAACCTAAAAACAAAAAACAATAGATGCATATGTATGGTCCCCGATGCTTTTCAAGAAAAATCATATCAAGAAAAATATTTAATATTTGGCATTTCCTATTGCTGTTCATTCAATTAGGTATAGCATTCCCCTACAACAGGTCTCATATCATGGCATCTTCCCTTTCTTTGTACATCACATTGTTTAAACCATTAAACCGGAGAGCAGAAATTATCATAATACTGCTATAATGCAGACTTTTGGTTAAAGTGTTGAGATAAATGACATTAAAAAAACAAGTATATTGAAGGACAGTGTAATCTAAATATTACACTTTAACATTATACAAGGTCTAATGTATTAAATGACACCATTTTCCTTCATTCTACTTCCTTTCTATAATTAGCTGCAAATTTGCATTATCAACTACAATGGCTAATAATTAAATATAACTCTGAAATGCCAATGTAGTGTTTCCAAATAACACCTAAGTATATGAATAGTTTGATCAAGCAAGACAAATCTACCAAAAAAATCCCAATCCTTTCTTCAGCCCTGATGTTTTCTTCTCAGTTTGGATTAGAACTAATGATTGAGATTAGAACTAATGATTGAGATTAGAACTAATGATTGATCATCTGCTTGTTATTTCAACATTCCCTTTCCAAAATGGTCTACAAGAAAGCTACAGGAAGGACATTAGAGCAAATAGACTTTGCTTGATGTTGCTCCTTTAGTGATATTGATGATTATGAACTAGTTTTATAAGTTACCAGTTAAATCAAAACAAATTTACTGTTGATAAACAGAGTTACAGTTTCAGTTTTAATTGATGTTTTACTCCAATGAAGAGATATTTCATCACTAAAGCTGATCCTTCCCAGAAAAGCCACTCTAAAATAAAAACTGATTGATTGTATCATCTTGGAGAACGCCATAAGACTACAATGTGTTAAGGATTTTAATATGTTATCGAAGTACATTATCATTTTTGTATGTATGTATGTGTGCATAGTTTTTATAACTCCCAATAACCACCAGTAAAATCATATTACTAAATTTCTAATTATATTTATCAAACAGCCATAGAGCAGAGGGAAAGGTGAAGAACTTCCACCAGACAAGGGTGGAGGTAACTTCTCATACATCTGCCTTGCTTCCTTAAGCATAATTGAGTCTTTAGGAAATATTCTGGCCCTATCCACCAGTGAAATGCATTTCCTTCAGCAGAATCACTTATACCCAACTTAGCTAGAGAAGTCATAAGTGCTCTATTAACACTGGAACAGATTTTCATATTCAACTACACAAAACAAAATGCTACAAATGACAAAATACATATAGAACGGACAATTTGTAAGTGGGTTTATTTTAAATCAAGCGCTTAACAGTTAATTCACCTTAATTTCTTCCTGGTTTTAAAACCATACATTAAAACTATACATTACATTCTGCAGAAAATGAATTACGCCATGCATAGGAGGCATCAAGAACCAGCCATAAGATGCATGCCTTGAAATGAAAATATTTTTGCCTTCTGTCCAAATCTGCATTTACTCAAACAGAAATACAGGAGGTGGGGAAAGGAGCCGCAGGGCAATTTGGCAAGCGGTGAAAACACAATTCCTTAAGGAGGTATTCATGAGTCATCGCTAAACTGACCATCTCCTCGTGGGAAGAGAGAGCACGCTCGCTTCTCCCCGGATTAGCTGTTTGTCGGAAAGAAAAGAGCAGAATTATTTCGGCGGCGAACGTAGATAGTGCATATCAGAGCTCTGGCTGGGGAAGCAATTCAGCTGAGCCGTTTCCACCCGCCTGCCAGCCCAGCCCGGCCCGCCCCAGGTTATGACACCACCTCCTCTCTTCGGCCGCAGAATACACGAAGGAGCGGGAAGGGCGGGGACTGAGGGGCGGGTGGCTCGCGCGGTAAAGGTCCGTAAGAGGGGACGACGGAGAGGGAGGGGGGTGCAGCCTCCCCGCCTGCAATTTCCATTCATTCCCGGCAGGCTGAGGTGCCGAGGCCTCGTCCGCGGCGCTCCTTGCAGCCGTCACGCACCCATCGGCCGTCGCTCCTTTGCACAGACGCTCACGCGAGCGCGCACCTCGAATGGCGGTGGCTGCTCCTGCCGCCGATCCCCCGCCCTCGCCCCCTGCAGCAGCGGCGCGGGCAAGCAGAGTGACACCACTGCCAGTCTCCCTCACCGGAAACGCCGCGCCCCCGAAGCATTTGCTCCAAGCTCTCCCGGCCACGAGCTAGACGCGGGGCCTACCTCCAGCTGCCGCAGGGAAGGGAGGAGAGGAAACAGACGAGAGGAGAACTAAAGCGGGTACCTTAATGATCCTGCGGGGCAACCCGGCCATCTTGTCTTATCAGGATATAGTCTCCGCTGGACCTCGACTCCGCTCGGGGCTTACGCGCTACCGGAAGAAGCCCGTGATTCACTTCCCGTAACGTCACCGCAGCACCTCCGGGGGCAAGCTGGGAAGTGTAGTGTCAATTGCTAACAAGAGAGGATGAATGAACTCAATCGTTCCCCGAGGGAGAGGACTCAAGAAGGCGCGGCTGTTAGTCTCCCTTAAAGATGAGAACCATTGATGCGTCTCTGCTTGAGAGAAGGCCGTTCTGCATTCTGTTGCCTAAGGCAAAGCAGCAAAATTCCCATCCAGTGAGAGTTTCTTTGCCTGAAGATTAAACCATGGTTGTTTAACCGTTATTTGCTGAATCAACTAAAGTTGGCTGGATTCACACAAAAGAATAAAACATTAAACACCCACATAAAACTTAGCACTGCTGATTTTCTTTAGGACCTAAAGGGGTGTCAAACTGCCCGGACCGCGGGCCGGCTGCATCATACAGAGGCTGCGCCCATCCCGGCTCCGGCAATGCAAAAAAAGTTACGACACGTCACATGACGCAGCGAGTTTGACACCCGGTGGACCACCACATAATCAAAAAATTTAAAAAATACATAAACATTTTAATATGACGCATGGGAGAAAATATTAAATGTCTTTTTTAAACTATTTTATTATGTTCACTACTAAATACACAGCATATTTATTTCCACTAGATCTATCTACAAGATATTGCATTGTTCTCCCTGCATCTTGTTCTCCCTGCACCTTGTTCTCCCTGCACCTAGTATTATCAGAGTTGGGTAAAAGGAAGGCATGATCTTTTTGTCCTCATGTCCTCCATTCAGCAAGCACAGGCTTAAAATCAAATATTGTCAGGCCTTTTAAGTATCTCTTCCGCAGCATCTTTTCACTATGATGCAATGCTTCCCTAATGAATGCTAATGGCAAGTTAACAAAGTTGGTGATTTTAATTTGTAGATTAGTGCTCTGGAGACAGCTTGCCCTATTGCCTGAAATTAATAAGACCTTAATTAGTTACAAGCTGAAGACTTTTGGTACTAATAGAAGAGAATATTTGTAGCTCAGGGTTGAACTGTGGAGTATCTGTTTTCGTTGTTTTCTTGCAGACATTTCATTACCCAACTAGGTAACATCAGTACTAGAAGGGAGTAAGGCTTCCCTCTATTTACATACAAGACTTTTGCCTATTAATTGACTCTAGCATATTCTTGCAATTAAAAAACTGATGCTGGAAAAAGTAACTCCATACACGTGTAGGTCTAAAATAAATATTTCATTTTCACTATAACTTTCCACAGTTTTCCTCAATTTTGTTGTGGATGCCAAGAAAGTTAAATTGTATTCCACCCACCCATTTGTCCAGTTTTCCATATCCTTTCTTCAGATATCTGATAACCTTATGTACACTTCAGTGATCATGTAGATTAGTTGAAGGCCATCAGTTTAACTGTGCATAAAGACAGATCATATTAAATATCAGTGCTGTATCTCTCTTGCTATAAAAGTCAGTACATAACTATTGCCATTCAACTGCATCCTAAACTTGCATCTTGAGGCAGCTGTCTCATAATGCCTATTGGTAATTTAATATTGTTCTCATATTGCACTTGTACTGAAAGCAAATTCTTTCATGTCTTCATATCTCAATGGCAACTCTATTTTGGGTGTCTCTTCTGAATCCAAGACTGGAATTATAATTATCTGATCATGAGGCTGCCTTAGAAATGGAGTCCTTCACAAATAACTTCCTGGTTTCCTACTCGCCCAGTAGCTGTAAAATGTTGGTATTATTATGAAAGCATTATCCAGGAAGGTTGCTTTGTGATACTAATATTTAATACAATTCTATATTAAAAATTATAGTTGAATCCAAATAAATTTGAGAAAATGTGGGATATCTGTGTTTCTCTTTTGCTATAATCTTTTAAAATTACAAATCACTCCTTCCTATTCCAGTGTGATGTTCTCCTGAAAATGTCTCTTACACTACAGTGAGGTTTTAAAAACATGCTAGAAGATAACAGCAGCAAAACACTTCCACATGACCATATTGACATATCCACTAAATCAGCAGCAGCTGAAATTGAAGCAGATGTTATGTTTTCTCTACACAAACTATTTTATGTAGAGAAGAAAAACTTAATGTCAATTGTCACATGGACTGAGAATTCTGGCATCTAATTCAGGTCTAGGATGGGGAAGGCTGAGCTATAGTCATATACATGCTGAAGGACATGCAAACAATGCCTTGCCTCAGCAGGAAGAAGCATCTGGCTGATTTTATGTGGGTTTGGAAACTAATTAGGGTCAGGCCTGTTTAGTATTTGGATCATCAGGAAAAACTGGACTAGGGAGAAAGAACTTTCAGAAGAAGAAAGCAATAAATCATTTCTGTACTGTTGCCAAGAAAATGAAACAGCCATGTCCATAAAGCCACCAGGAGTGCAGCTTTACCCAAAAGCAATGTTTAAAGAAAGTAATGTGCAATTCAGCAACCACATTATAAAACCCTCACCTAAGTATTATCCAAGGCAAAAAATCACCAATCTCTCTAGCAATACTAGGAAAAGTAGAGCCTCCATTCTATAGTACCATATTTCCATTGCATTGATCACAACGCTGCAACTCTCTGCCTGAATGACTCAGCTCTGCCTTGTGCTAAGTAGACAGAAAGGACTGCCAGAAACAATAAATAGAAGATGTCAAAATCTAAAGGATGGTGGATGTGGGGTTGGGATCTTTGCCCCATCCTGTTTACAAGCCTGTTTGATCATAATGCTACCTTTATATTACAGATTTTGATCCCTCTATGGACATCACTACAAACAGTTGTTAACCTCTTAGCTTGTTAGTATTGATTATTTCATGACCATTGCTTGATTTAATTTGTCACAAGGTGTTGGAAATAGAAATAATGCAAAATGTTTTGAAGAATACAGGTAGTCTTTGACTTACAACCAATTGTTTAGTGATCATTGAAAGTTATAACACTGAAAAAAGTGACTTCTGACAATTTTTCACACTACTGCTGCAGCATTTCCATGGTCATGTGATGAAAATTCTGGCATGTATTTATGACAGTTGTACTATCAGGGTCATGTGATCACCATTTGTAACCTTCCCATCTAGCCTCCGACAAGCAAAATCAATGGGGGAAGCCAGATTCACCTAATGACTGCATGATTCACTTGACAACTGTGGCAAAAATGTTATAAAATGGGGCAAAACTCACTTAATAACTGCATTACTCAGCAATGGAAATTTTGGGCTCAATTGTGGTCGTAAGTTGAGGACTACTTTTATTTTGAAGAAAATTGAAGGGAACAAGCAACTTTACACTGCTAGACAGATACAAAATGCACTTATAATTACAAATTTAAAATAAAATAGACAATATTTTTAAAAAGCAATGATTTATTGTCCTCCTGCAGCCTTCACAGCTGTAGATGTATTGACAATTCTCAACAACTCTACACAACTAGACTAGAATTGTGGTTCCATATATCTGCAGTGTTAGGATGCAGAAGGCTGTTCCATTCACTAACATTATCCATAAACTACTATACTGTAAAAAGCGCAAGCCATGATCTTGTTCTATCTTTATTGTATTCTCACCAAGAGAAAAGATATCCTCATCTGCAAAGTATTTAAAACATCTTAAAACATGGGTGTCAAACTCGCCACGTCATGTTATGTATTGCGATGTATCATGACTCTTTTTGTATTGCTGGCAATGGGGTGGGTGCAGCTTCGGTATGATGAAACCGGTCCCGGGCCGGCAGTTTGACACCCCTGTCTTAAAAGGTTTATAAACCTAGCATAGAATTCTATACATGATCATTTGAAAGTAATTTTTACTTAATTCATGACAAATTTCATGGTAAATGAATATGGGTTTGTAATAAAATGTTAGTGAAATATAAGCTTTTAAGAAGTACAGACCATTTCCACTGATTTAATTTTATTATTTATCAAATTCAGATAACCAGAAAGCATAACTTGCCTAGTAATGCTACCCCATGTGTAGAATAGACCTAATGATTTTTGCAAATCAGTTAAAGAACAGATGCCCTGTCAATAATTAAACACAGTAGGTTTGTATTTCTTTTCTAAGAAAAGGTTCTGTTTATTTATTTTCTAATGCATGAATATAAAACTCAATGTCCTTGCATGTCACCAATATCAATTAGTCTGCATCAACATTCATGGGCCACTCTCACAGAGATAGTCAGTGAAGTCAGGCTGAAAGGGGCCTATTTCTTGCTTTGGTATTATTTCTCCATCCCTACGGACATCCTGTTACCCTCTTTTTATTGTTTCAGCCTATCATGGATGATTTCTGATTTGTTCTAAATTCTAAAACAGGTTGTCTCCATATCTTTCCTAACTGTTTTAAAGATTTTTTTGGTCTATGTTTACATATTATAGTAGTATTGCTCTTTTATTCTGGGCTTCTCTTAGGAACCTACAACAATGACACTGCAGGGAATTGTACTGGGCAAGACCCTTTTTGGAAGCTTGTCCACAATACTGGATGTGTCACTTTCCAATTTATTTCTCCTCTCCTCCCACCTAGCACTGCTTCTCTCTTTTCCTTTACACAACCATTTCTGGATGTTCTCCTTCCGTTCTTATATCTGACAGCACTGGAATATTAAGCCTGCATTTTGGCAAATAAATCTGAAAACAGCCAACCATTTCAGCCATTGAGTATTTTTAATGGCTCTGAATTTGGAGGACTTGCATTGTGGGTCCTAGGATATTCATCTATGGTCCAACAGGTCACAAAACAGACTTAAATTAAATGAACTCTGTCATTGATTTTCAGATTCTGTCCAAGTTTTCCCAAACTAATTTGGAGATGCTAAGGATGGACCCTGCAGATGTCTAGAATTTCTATATTTTACAATTGTACAATTGTAAAAGTCAAGAAATTGACTTACACTCTATCTTCCAGGGTAGGAAGGCTTTAAGCCTATCAAATATATTTTTTTGTTAGACCTTCCAGCCAAAACCAGTTATAGAACATTATCTACTTGGAATTAAAGAACAGGCAGT